AGAACTTCCAGTGGGCCTATTAAAAGTCCAGAGTTCTGACAGAGTCGCCTTTGTTTCATAATTAATGCAAATGTGATAACCGTGACACTGACTGCTGGCCGAGCTGTTCATCAGCGTCTACGACAAGTAAAAATGAACGCTGCCATTCATCTGAGCAGAGAGCTAATGGACGCCGTAAGACTGCATTACTGAGCACAACACTGGGGACCTTTGTGCCAGACCGATAAAAGCGTAGAGTACGGCAAAATTTATGACACCGACACAGAATAGTTGGAGTGTTGCAGCTTCAATTGTTGGCCACACAGGAGGAACTGCTACTTATTATAGGCTAATGCAACAAGAGCGCGGTTGCCATAGCAGCTGTGTTAACAGATTTAGACGAACATCAATTAATTTTACATCTGTCAGCAAGTAATAAAGCATTTTCTGTCTCCTGTGATGAACGGTTAATAATGCCTCTCAAACATTTTTGATGTTTTGCCACGTCATAAATGTGTTTGTGTATTTTATTGAGATTTTATGTGAGCGACTACATAAAACTGTCAAAGTGTGTAGAAAGAAATGCCTGACAGTGTTAGGTCGCTGTTGTGTTCAAGCCTCTACACTCTGATGCCGTTATAATAGAAAAATGAAATGACTTCAGAAGACACCTAATTAGTAAATTGAGTTCATTTGTGTGTAATATGATGTTAGTATAAATCCTGTGAAAGTCTCAGAAGCAATGTTTCTCAAAACGGGGGGCCAAGCCGCCCCGAGAGGCCGTCAGGAGGCGATAGGGTGAAAGATTGGTGGAAGATGAAAGGGGATAAACAGCAACATTTTAAAGATTGAGTCTAATAAAGCATTTAAGTTAAAAAAAAATTTTATTGAAATGTTATTTGCCAATCTCATCTTTCTAGATGGCTGATTTGTCCAATTTATCAAGATGCTCTGCTCCTCCAGCATGGTAAGCGCAAAATGCAAACATTTCTGTCAAAAAAAGCCTGAAATAACCATCTAGCAAACCTGCTGTGGAGGACAATCCTGCAAAAAACTCTTAAGAAATCACAGCCAACAACAATCAGAATGTGAGTCAGTATTTACGCTAAACAAATGTCATAATTATTGGGTAACGAATAAAAGTGAGAATAAAATTGATACTTCTTATTTTGCAGAGGGACATAAGGTAATCCTGATTTGGCATGGAAAAGTTTGGGAACCCCTGTGTTAGAGGACATTTGTGAACAATCTAATTAAATATGTTTCTTTATAGCATCCGAAAATAGAAACATGCAAACCCACCAAGATATGTCTGTCCACCTAACCTGAGAGACTCAGTGTGACTCTGGAGGAGCTGCAGGCTCAGGTGTGTGTCAAAGGAAAGTGGGTCGATCTAAACAAAGGACTGTCGTGTCAGTAAACCTGCCAGATGATAACAGAAAACCTGAAACTGTGGCAGAGGTTCACCTTCCAGCTGGACAACAACGCGACACACGGAGACAGAAATACAGAGAAGTGGTGTAAAACCAAACAAAATAAACCCGTACATTCTTCAAATCAAACTAAATTGGTGTCAAATGTTTGTGCTGCGTTTGTGGTGCCATCATTTTAAAAATGTTGATAAAAGTTTCTGGAGGTCACATAAGGTCAACCTGGGCCCCTCACACATTTATGAAATCAAATATATTTGGTGTCAATCAACTGTGCTACATTTGTCCTGGTTTTGCGCTGCTAAAATATTCCGGCACAAATGCAGCACAAACAGCTTACTGACAATTTTGTTTGATTTGGGTGATGTGGAAAGCCAGGTTGATCTTTTGACCTTTGGACTTTTGGTAGTATCTTTAAAACAAAAGCAGCACAAATGAAAATTTTGCAGCACAAACATTTGACACCAGTTTTGTTTGACTTGAAGACGATGGAGAGGTCAACTTCAGCCCGGTCTTCAAAACCGATGTTCGTAGTTGCTCTCTGACTTGGAGGTAGTTTGCAAGGAGAACTATTGTACTCCAAGGCGTGGCTCAACAAAGCATTGACTCAAGCGAGCTGAATACAAATGCTCATCAGTCTTTGCTGAAAACCAGGAACAGTTTTCCCTTTGGCTTGACAGTTCTTAGAGTTTTTGTGCTGATCTGTCACATAAAATCCCACCAAAATACTCGAGAACGCCGTTTGCAGCATGTAGAAAACGTCCAAGCGCTGTGAATACATTTGCAGGGAATTGTAGGTGATTGACTTTAATGATCGGTTTGTTTTTCACTGGAGACATTTGGTCTCCATTTAGCTGGATTTCGGTCCTGAAGGTTGCTCCTTGATAGATGGGCACCAAGAACGAGGAGGAAAGATTGAACAAGGAATTTACTTCACACGCATTACTCAGATGAAAGCAACACTTTGCGATGGGACGTAGATCAGTACGAAGACTTAATGTGGGCAAATTGTAAGAGAACGATACGGACAGGAACAAAAGAACAGAACGTACTTCTTTGTTGTTTTATTTTCACTGTGACAATTTTAATTGAATACAGAACTGTTTTATTTATTCCTTCGTTCTACCTCTTGATATTAAAAAAAGCTTTTCTTGTTCTATTTTTCTAAATGTTTCTATGGGTTGGATTTGGGTGACTAAAAATCCCGACGCCCTTATTATTATTTTTTTTTCCCCTTGTGCTACGAGTCCTGCATCTTTATTCTTCTTCCCAGGCCCTACAGGGAGAAAGCTGTGATTAAAAGCAATTATTGCCGGTATTGTCAGTAAAAGGCAATGAGGTAAAACAACTGCTGGTGAAGTCATCAAAAGCTGGCCTAAAAGGAAGGGAGTTATCTGCAGCGGTGAACTCTCAGAATCATTGCCCAGAGAATATTGATTGCTTATTTGATTACAAGCAAAACCTACGATCGGGTTTCCCTAATCCAGGCAGACTAGAGGAGGAAACACAATGCTCCGCTTGTGCTGAATCTGACGTCACAATGCTCACAGAATTAGATTACGTGTTTGCTGCACTAGGCTTTGTTTGGGCTGATCACAAACAGGAACACAAACAAGAGAGGACAGGGTGAAATATGCAGGAAGTCAAAAGACTTGACAGAAGTTGGTCTCATCGGTCCAGTCCGGCTTTACGGAAGTCAGTGACTTTAGATTCGTCTTGCTGTTGCTCATAACAAACCCCATTAGACCCAACAAAAGTCCAAACCCTCACTTCATGTCAAACTCAAGCTAGTTTTTGTAAAGATGCGCAGCCCGGTTTCTGTAGCCACAAAATGACTGATGTTACTGCACCATTACGGTGCAAAGAAAAGTCTGCAGAGCGTTGTAATTAATCTGTTTGCGTTCAGCAGAGCCACTTTGTGAGCCGTCTGTCATTCTTGGATGATATCCAAGGGAAGATCTTTGGAGTAAAATTAACCTGTTCTTCAAGGGGACTGCTATTTAAAGCGGGGAGATAAATTTATGGTTATGTCCTTTTTAGTGCTGCAGACGCATGGCTCTCTTGGGTGATGCTGAGCTAATGGGAATCAAGCTTCTGCTCTAATGAAGGTCCATTACATACCCACACAGCAAGAACTATTCATTTTTTATGAGATGTGCAGAGCTATTGGCGCCTCTTATCAGAGGCATTCGCTATCACTGGTTATACGTGGACCTGTAGCCAGAGGGCAGCCAGATCGAGGGGACCGGTTCAAAGCAAGCAGAGTTGAAGGTATGAAGTTCCTTGCAAGAGCTTTCATATTTTCACATTTTGATCCATCCAAAGAAAGCTGGAGTACCTGGAGAGGACCGTGCAGCCCATTTTCTACACTTACAACCCGAGACTTCAATTATTTTATTCGGATTTTTGAAAATGCCTTACAGCGAAGTAGGTGTATCTTCAGCTAAGTAGACTGAGAGTTGCGTGAAGTTTTATGTTTTTACTCTTGTTGAGATTGAAATATGTGCTCATTCTTCAGAAGTTGCTCTAACTGGACCGCCCTGCATTTAGCTCCGTCCATCTTCTCATCCTCTCTGAGCAACTTCCCTATAAACCTTCTGGAAAAAAAAAACACTCCCTCCCTCCCACCATCAGGTTTTCCACTCAGTGTAGACAATTGAGTTCAACTTTGTTTTCATCTGCAGAGCACCTTCTTCAACATGTAGCAAACTGCAAAGCATAATTTCCCTCTGCGTTCTTTAAACAAGATTTCTCTTCTCCACGCAATTTTTGGAATCGTTTTCCTCTTGATGGATCTCCGGAGCTCACGTTGCCTGGCCTGTGGTTTTAGATATCTTGGTTGATTTGAAGTAGTGACACACTCCTCCCAATTTTTAACAATGCTCTGTGAAATGTCCAAAACTTAGAATACTGTAGAATTAGCTTTTCTATAAGCTGTAAGGTTTCCAAACAAGCCTCTGGAGCCCCTCACAGAATAGATGTTGGTATATACACTGGATGTTACACATAATCATATCAGAAGTAAGGAGGCTGAGTAGAAAATGTGAACTTTACTTTTGAGATTTTTAGTTGTAAAAAAAAAAAAAAAAAGAAAAAAAACCATTTATATGAATTGTGTACTACTTTGTGTTGGTTTATTATATAAAATCCCAACAAAATACGTCAGTTTGCAGAAAAAGATAGACGTTTATTGTAAAGGCTGTAAAATGTCATCTAAATTAGCTTTTTTTTTTGTTTACTACAATAAACCTAACATTATAGTCTATGATAATAATTATATTTTGCTATCTATAAATGTGCTGTTGCGTAGAGGTGTGCGATACTGTATATTTTGTATATGCAGTATACAAAATATGTATATGATCTGATTTTAAGTAAATACAGGCTTAGTATGGTGTGATTTCAGGGAGTGTTTTCAGTCCATATAATCAGCTACCCTCCTCCTTCTCCTGAGACGCTGCACAGACTTTTTTTAGAAACTCTTCTCGGATGTAATGGTAAAGCGTCTCCTTTCGGCGCTGAACGTTAATAAAATAAGTAAAGTCTGAATGATTTTCTTGGTTGATTTTATGCTCCGTGTGTCAATACAAATTATGATTCATCGATTGAGATTCTCATTCTCAACACTCAGTATCTACAGAAATACCAAAACTTATTAAGTACAACATATCCGCAAACTTCTGACCTTTAGGTATTTTTTTTTCTTTCCTTTTAATTATTTTTTGCTAAAACCAAGAACAAAATCTGGATAAACATCGTGTTGCTTATATCTAACAAAATACATTATTGACAAATGTACATGATGAAGAGAATAAATAGAAAGACTAAAGAAATCTGTGTGCATTGTTTTCTAAAATAAAAAAGTGTAGAAATAAATAAGTAAATAAAAATATTCGAGAGTAAATCAGTTGAGAAACTACAAAACAAAGACGAAGTATCGTTCACGCGAGTGTCACCGCGATACTCATACCGACTTCGCATCGATATTAATGATACTTTTGCTTAGTTGTCACTATAGAGCCACATGAATAAAACGGGACTCTGATTCTGTTAATGAGTCTAATTAGAGGGAAGGGATATTATGAATAAACTTCACTTGAGTGAGGACACACAGGGAGCCTTATAGTAAGTATTCACGTAATAATGATGTAAGATCATTCATCCTTTCCATCACTGCTGCTCCCTCCAGACACACTGATGCTGCACTCGCTTCGTGTGCACCACAGCAGTCAGGTTGTCTGCAACAGGGGGGCGACGTGGAGGGGTGCTGCAGCTGCTGTCCCAGTCGGCGCTGCGGAGCCTGTGTTAACTCATCATCTGGGTCCGACTGGGAAGATTTAAAAAGAGAAAGAAAGAAAGAGAGAAAAAAAGGACCAAACTTGTTAACACCTGAGAGGATCGAGCTAAGGTAAGACGCAGCGCAGAGATGAAGCCCCGTCTTCTGGGCGGCGGCAGGACAACCAGGAGACTTTTGTCGGCTTGCCTCATCTCGGTGTGCCAAGCCCTGCACAGCTGCGGGGGAGTCAAGTGCGTGGACGGCCACCAGTGCTGCCTGCTGCCCGTCCCCGGGAACGGCAGCTCCGGCTCCGCGGAGAGCTGCTGCAAGCTCCCCATCCACGTCTTCTTCGACAACGTCGGCTGGTTCACGCGGAAGCTGTCGGGCATCTTGATCCTGCTGCTGCTCTTCGCCATGGGCTACTTCATCCAGAGGATCATCTGCCCGCGGCCCCGCCACCGGCACCAGAACCAGGAGCACGGCGAGGAGCCCTCCCTCTTCCACGGACCCACGTCGGCGTCCCAGGATCTCCTCCTGGAGCCCTACCCGGAGTGCACCCTGGGGGACTTCGCCTCCCCGAACCTGCCGGCCTACGACGAGGTCAAGTACCTGCCCACGTACGAGGAGAGCATGCAGGAGATGCACCGGGACCGGGACCGAGACCGGGACCGCTCCGACGATGACCTGTTGTCCGGAGCGGAACCGGCGGCGGCGGAGTCCGGGCAGCAGAGGCGGGACCTTCTGGGGGTGAGCCCCGCAAGGACAGCTCGGAACTCGGTGTGAAAGGAGAGCAGGGGCCGGACAATGAACTGCCTGATAGTATTACTAATTTATTATTATATTATTATCATCATCCTCATCATCATCGTGAGGGGGTGGGAGAGGGTGAAGGAGGTTTCGCAGAGATACAAACTCAAGTGCAATTATAATCCTGATTGTAAAGAATAAAGAAGGAGGCTGAGAATGTAAACGTGTTTTGGAAGATAATACGTGTCTGCTCGGCTTTTTGTATGCAAATGCCGCCTCGGCAGAGGGGATTAGAGAGACTGCAGGAGGCGCCTTAAACCGATGCTCATTGTGTTGATGGGACAGCTAATTTGGCTGCGGGACAATCACATTAAGTTTTCGCGGCACCATGAAGACATTGGCTGGTTTCTTCTCGAAAATGTGACCTTTTATTTCTATACATTCTGAATATTTAGTGGTTGTTTTGTTTTTTGTTTTTGCAACCAAATGGAAAAACAGTTTCTCCTAAAGTTGAATGTGGACGGACTGAAGTGAGGGATTCATCTGCATCCGGGATTCTTCCAGTTAAATCATATCTTATCAGCATGAAAGCAATATTCCATTCATATTCACATGGCACCCCATAGATAAGCGCTTTATGGGTAATCTGAACCGTGTTTCATGTGTTTGTTGAAAGATAAGCCGCCACAGTATATATAAATATATATATAAAAAAAGCTCAAATCCTGCAGCATTTTGTAGCCTGGAGTTGCATGAATTCAGGGGGGGACGGCAGATGTTGCAGCATGCATGCTGATAGGTGCATGTTGGCAGGAAATGTGGAAATGGGGTTGCAAGAAATGTTGCAATCAGATCTAATGTAGGGAGCATTTTAATAAGTTAGAATATCGTGTAAAAGTTCATTTCAATCATTCAAATAGGTCCCAGTTATGTGTTAAATAGATTCATTACATACAGTATATTACACGTAATCTTTATTGTTATGAGTTAAAATATCGAAAGGTTAAAGTTGAGTTTCTGAGAAAAAAATTTTTTTAAAAAGGTGCTTTAACACATTTTATTATAAAATCTTGGAGAAGACGCGTCTCCTCGAGGAGGGTTAGAGTTGAAAGGTTATCATCGATAAAGTCGCCTGGTCACAGATTGTTTTGTCCTGTTTTCTTAGCAGAAAGTTGAGTGGAAGAAAAAGCTGTGGTAGCAAAAGGTGCACATGCAAAAGATCGTGAAGCAGCGCCCACTTAGGAGCCAGGTGGAGAGTTGAAAGTTGTGGACAGCAGCCGGAGACGGAGACGTCCAGGACAGACGCTACTACTGTGTCCTTAACCGGAGGAAACATGACACTCGAGTTGAGGAAAAATTTACAAGGACATTTCAGACTTTTTGCTTCCTTCTGCTGACCGGATTTAAGGAGATGCTGATTTCATTTTCCCGGCACGGCTTGGTGCCGGCACACACCGCCACCGAAAGCTGGTTCAGTGACCACAGCGTTCCTGTTCTTGATTGGCCAGCAAACTCTCCCGACCTTTAACCCCAGAGAGGATCTGCGGACAGTTGTCAAGAGGTAGATGAGAGACAAAGGAACCATGACGCTTCAGCTGGACCGCAGACTGATCACCTCCATGTCACGCTGCACTGACGCAGTAATTCAAACAAGTATTGAGTTACAGGATGTTTTACATGGGCATCATTTTCAGTTGCAACCTGAAAATATGAATCGGTCATAAACATCTAAACTTTGCAAAAGAGCAGAATATATTTTAAGAGCTGTAAACCTCAAACATCTAAATGACAATAAATTACACCTTGAAATATATCTTTTGGTTATAAATCTCTAAACTATTACTTTACCCATTTAAATTTGATTGCTGGTGTTAAAAAAAAACAGACAGTTTTTGTTCCTTCCAGATCATTTTAAATCCAATTTATGTTTCCTGCAAAACTGCTGCATCATGTTTTAGGTTTTGGCATGTAAACACAATAATACCATTAAAAAAATATGTTTTTAATCTTTTCTTTAGTGTGATAGATATTCGATACAATTCAGCTAAGAAACACATTTATTAGTGGGACGTTTTGGCTCTGCAGTGCTGCACTGAATGGTGAAGAGAAAGGAAAAGGGGTGAAGATGCAGCAAATGCCCCAGCATTCTCTCTTCTTTGGTTGAAATCCATCAGCATGTGACTATTTGCCCTCTGTAACGCGCGGAAGCTCCACCAAGCACGTCTCTTGCCCCACAGCTCTCTTCAGGCAAACGTTTTCTACCAGGTTTGGGTCTGAACTCGTTCCAGAACCTTCATTTCCTCCCAGTAAATAATCAATTCTACTGACAGCTAAAATGTGCACTTGCACTCACAAGTGACGCCGAAAACGCAAAGCCTCTTCATCGTCTTCGTTCTAGCAGAAAACCGGTCAAAATGTAACGGCTGTCTTGAATAATGACACAATTTCATCTCAACAAATCCCACAATTCCAAGCAAAGAAAACCAGCTCCGGATCATGACGCCACCGCCGCCGTGTTTCACTGTGGTTACGCTGTTCTTGTCATGATGATGTATGAGCCACACACAATGTTTTAGGATGCTTCAGCTCTGAATGTTTCCTTTGGAAACGAACGGCTTTTGATTATGAAACCTACTTCAAACTAAGAACGAAGGACAATGTTATCACAATTAAATCTCAGCCAGTACGTCCAAAAAGTCCTGCAGCTTTTTCAGTGTTGCTGTCGGCCTCTAGCATCCCTTCTCTACCTGCTTGTCTTTTTGTAATGTCACTATTTGTTGCATATTTTCTCTTATTACTAATGACTTTTTACTGTAATGAAACATTTTCATTATGCCCTTCCCCTGACTGATACGTTTGGACAGTAGGACAATTTTGATCCCTTGGCGCCTCTCTGCAAACTTCGGCTTTTGGCTGAAGGACTCAAATGGATGAATGTCAAAAAAGGACGGCTGACATTTATTTCCGGTTAATTAAATTCATTATGACAACTTTTAGGCGTGTAACCATAAAAACTGAATGTAAAAACTGAACCAAAGTGTGATGAGTGCGTATCAAAGGGTCTGCGCCTCTACGCAGCTTTCCTCTTTGATTAACATTTTCTCATCTAACAGAGAATTGCTTGTTTGACGTACACAGGATGACATTTTCACATTAAAACTGAAAATACATTGGGGGGAAAAAAGTTATTAAAGCCTAATTTTTACAAAAACATCGCAATTTCACAGGGTTGTGTAAACTTTCGGCATGCACCATGTAACGAGCCCTATTCTATCAGGACAACCCAAATCGTTTCCATCACTGGGAAGAAGTAGGAAAATGTCTTTGCTCAGCAGTCGGATAGAGAGGAGATGCTTGGGTAAGCTAAAACAGTTTGAGTCCAGACTGCAGAGAGGAAGTCGGCTCCGGAAAATCCGGTCAATATTTGAGAATGACACAAGTCAAATACTTTGAAAACTAACTTAGCGAGTTGTGGAATTGCAATCAGATATAATTAGTTTACATGAATTTTAACAGATTTGTCCTGAAGATGATGATGATCACCATCATCATCATTTGGTTCAGCTTCACTCTCCGTCTTGGTTTCAGGGGTCGTCGGGGTCAAACTCTGGCTTAGAGACATATATGGTTCAATTGCTTACATACTGAAAGCTTCAGAAACATTTAATTGTGAAAAAGATAACTTTAAAAAAAAATCCTCCACTGGATAGTGGAATTTAAAGCTATGTGGAAAGGGAACTTTCCCATCAGGTATCAGGTGCTCTGAAACACTTTATGTTTGAAGAAGAGGAACCAGAACATGAGTTTTCTTTTCCGTTTCTTTTTAAGCAAAAGAGGAATGTCTTCTAAACAATGTTTTCATTTCTACTAAAGTGAGAAATACACGTTAAAAACTAATTTTCTCTCACATAATACAGAACCGATGAGCATACGTCAAGCTGTTGTGAGAGTCATATTATTTTGCAGCTTTTGAAAGCTTGTGTTGTCCAGGGTGAGTGAACGGAGGCAAAACATGCCAATGACTTTTAAGACTGGTTTGAATACATTTTCTGCAATTCATGCAAAGTCAAAACTGTACATAGAACCTCAAACATATCCGACCCGCTCACCGACGTGTGGTCAAATGACTCTTGTCACATTTAACCACATAGTTCAAGAGATGAGGTCAGCATGTCCACGGCAGCCATCTTGTTTGTTTGACGAGCGTGTTTTACAACTTCTAACTATTTGGTCTTTGAATTCAGGTCAACTCATACAAGGGATGGTTGAAATAAAAGCTATTTTTAAAAAATATATATTTTTGTCATTTGTAATTCCTTTGTAAGAAAAGAAAGCGAGGGGAGGGGGGAGGAATTATGAAAATTGAATTTAGTATTTAAAAAAAAATCTTAGATTTTATGTTTAAGCCATAATTTCCCAGCCTTAAAGAAAATTTAATTGTAGGCATTTCTGACTTTAATGGCCTAATACCCAGCCAGGTTTACACCAGCTGACTGCTGACACCGGCAAAAAGAACAGTGTAGCATCTCTGCAACAGGCCAAAGGACATTTATCCAAATGTGGTAAATGCGTTCATTCCAGTCTGTGTGTGTAGATTTGACTCTGTGGCTTAAAGGAAAACCCACAATACAGTCAAACATGAAGACGTTTAATCATCCCACTATAAAAATACAATCTTTCAAATGCGTTCTGAGAAGGCCTACATAAAGTACATTTATGCCTGTGTGATATGTTCCGTTGATATTTTCAGGCGTCTCTTTCTGCCAGTCTGACAAAGCAAACCTGGAGTTTCTCTGACCGACTCTGTGGAAACTAAGAGGCTGGAGTGATTGCCGTTTGCTTCTGTAACCCAACACTGCGATGGCCAAGCTGATAGTGATCACTGATGGCTTTCCTTCTCCGGCTCGGAGGATGCTGACATTTAAAAGCGTTAAAACCGAGCAGCGAAAGCCGACTGCAGGGGTGCAGGAGTGAACGCAACTCAACTCCGTCTGGACCAAAGTGCGTCAGCTCCAGTTTCTAGGATGTTTTTAAGATAAAGATGCTTTATCTTTCCCCAGAAAATAAAAAAAAAATAAAAATAAAAAAAAATAAAAAACAATGTGGTTGTTTTTCAGTTTTCCTCGAAGGCACCAATCAAAACAATCTGTAATATTTTTTGCAGAAGCAAACAGAACAAATAGATCTTATGGAACAGATGCAGAACACAAATCTTTTTGTTTTTTTGTTTTTTTTAAGCCTGTGCCCATAATCCATTTACTCCATTGCTTACTGGACAAAAGAACAGAAAAGGTCAAATCAATGGAGCTTGTTCTCCTCATAAATTTTACATGAGATCCCAGCAGCATCTCTTGACTGTCTGAGTAGAGTGAGCACTAGTTTAAAAATGATCAAACTCACTTCACTCTTGTGAAGACGAGGCTCATTGTTCAGATCGTAGCGCAGAATTTGGTTCTAAATATTAACAAAACAAACCATGCATACATATTTTTTGTAACAAATAATGGTTAGAGAAAATCAGCAATAATTACTTGTTGTCTGGCCATTCTTTGAACACTACTTCTTAAGATATTCAAATCTTTAGTTATAAATCTTAATATAAATATCTTTTATAGCTTTATATGTTTAATATTTAATGTCAAAGCTTGCTCTGTAACTGTTTTATCTAGATCGATAGCTTTAAAACATCAGCAGACGGAAGTAGGTTACTGAGAGGCAGAGATAAGGCCCAAAGCTGGAGGCGTCTCGGATTTCTGAAAGGAGCTGTATGGCAAGCAGTCAGCTCACATAATGGCAGCGGAGGACGTGTGGTAAGATTCACCATAGAAAATGATAACACAGTGTTTCTGTAAGTTACGGCAGACGAATCAAGACAAAAACAAATTCTAGATATTTGCGGAAAATTTTATGAAATTCTAAATATTTTTAGAGCAAAAACTTAACTCACAACAGCTTGTTTAATAATCATTTTGAATTCTCGACCTCTTTGTCTTGAAAATAGGGAATGGTTTCCAAAACTAAGTGCAGATTCTATAAAACACATTGGCAAACTTTTTTTTTTAATAAAATAGAATAAAATCCAACAAATAAGTAGCTCCACCTGAATGTAAAGAGAACAAAAGGACAGAAAAATGTACCTTTATTTTTGGAGCATGTCTTCAGTCAGTATTTCAAAAACCCCAAAAAACAGATGAGTAAAATGTTAAAATCAAATAGTTATGTGGCAAAACAAATAAAAAAAAAACATAAACTCCATAAGATCTTGTTTTTCCATCACTTGACCGATTATTAGATTTCTGTCCTTTAAAAAAAAAAACAGAGAAAAACCCAAAGAGTTTATTTTTCTATTCGTATCCAGATTGGACGAATGCTACCTGAGCTACCTTCAAGGTTTTCCCAGAGTTTCCAAGACTGTGTCACAACCTTTAATTATACGCTTTCCCATAACATGACAACAACAATTTGGCTCTAATATTTTAAATACGATAAACTGGCTTCAGGAGCAAAATTATTTCAAAAGTTTTATGGGAAAGACTGAATTTAGTCCGACATCATGAGAAATGTGGTTTTGTCGCAGCATGATGACAACTGAATAAAAGTTGGTGGAAAACAAAAATGAATCCAAAGAAAAAAGAAATGTAAACCAGAAGTAAATGTGAATAAAAAATCTGGGTGTATTTAAGACCTTTTTTTTGGACTGCAAAAAAACCTCAAGTCTTGTCAAAGAGAGAACACATTTCTTTTCCATAAATAAGTGTACTTGCTTTATTGAATCATATTCCATGTAGTGTTTTTTTAAAGCAACAACAGAGTTTTGGCTGTATAAACAGTAAAAAATATAGATGTACAAAAACACGTTTTGGAACATGAGCGTGTTCACTTTGACATGTCTGAACACATCAGGTTAAATGAACAGATGAGCAGAGATTAAATCTGACGCATCGATCACCGAGCCGTTTTCCTTCCTGAACCTGCGGCTGCCAATTCAAACATCAGCTAAATAAAAGCAGGCCGTCTGAACCGCGGACGGCATAAATTCACGCGACGTCTCTCTGTTTACAGCCAGTCGCTTAACTTTAGTGATGAATCTGAATGAATGAGGAAAATAGGTGTAAAAATATACATGTATGAATTTTAAATATTGGTACTTGCAGTAGAATGTACCGTTTACATTTCTGACAAAATCAACCCTATTTTCTAATCAAATTCAGAGGGGAAAAATGAACAAGATAAAAAAATATATATTTCTAAAATTATCTCATTGACATTTGTGACAATCCCTATAACACACTACAGAAGCTTTCACTTTTTCATTTAGCCAGAGTATCAATGAGGTTTTCTTTAATAATTGATGACTTCCTGTTTCCCTGGGACATTAATACAATATAAATCCATTTGTTCCAGTCACTTAGAGCACACACCGTTTCCAGCAAAGCAGGTGTGTACCGACCACTAAAAGTCAGGAAACGGCTTCAAAGAAAAATATATATTCACATAAGATTGCTTGTGTTCACAGAAAGAACAATAACTGAAAACCTCAACAGCGACAAACAAAGCCGAATGAGAGCCGAGGCTTAAAGCGTGGAATAAAACAGCTGCTGGAGAACAGAGCCAAGAGGTGACATGTTGGCGCCATTTACAACGGGTTGTGTGGAAGGCGTGTCACAAAAAAACGGCGCCGTCAGATGGAGGCTGTACCTCATGTAACGATTTTGTGTCACTCAGATGTAGCAAAAAAAAAAAAAAAAAAAAAAAAAAACCTAAAAGCCCTTATCATAAATGTCGAGACGCCACGCTGCCCCTCACAGAGGTGTGTGCAGCTTTCTCTCGCTCTTTAAACAACTCCATCTCAATCTTCGCCTGGATTCTTTCCCAGTCCACCTCGACCTGACGGAGAGGAAAGAAAGTTGGATCAAACTGGACAACATTAATTAACGAGGTTAGAAAGCAGAGCATTCAGGAAACAGGCATTCAAGTAAAAGTGATAATGAAATGCACTCTTTCCATTTTAAGACTGACTGGAAGCAACATACAGTGTGTGCTGTGCATTCATCAGGGATTTCAAAGTGAATCTGAAACAGTATGGAGGTTACACCTTCAAAACCTCAGATAAAGCTTCGACCAACAGGGTTCCTACAAGTTTTACATTTCAAATTTACATATTCATGACAATGGACATTTAAGCATAAAAAAAGTGTTCCCTTGTTGTCTTTTATTCTCTGTCGACCGTAAAACAACACATGGTGACAAACAGCAATGGAAGCTTCAATTAGGTGAAATTACTAAACCAGGTCACGTAGGCGTTTACATTTCAACTACTTGTCGGGGACTCCATTTTGCCTAAGCTAGGCAAAAAAAAAAAAGAAAAAAAGTTATTTACTCAAAAGGACACAGTTAGTAGAGCGCACTCTGTTCCAACTTCGTAACCTGCAACTAAATCAGCTTATTCAGCACCACAGAACAAACCCCTTCGGAGTACTGCAGGAATCTCTTGTTGGTCTCCTTCCTGCCAAACGTCTGCAGGAACTTCCCCCTGTAAGCCAGCACGGTGTCCACATGGGTTTTGTGTTTGACCGCCAGCTCCAGAGCCCTGAACCAGACAAAGAACCAAGAGACATGCTTAACACGAACTTTGAAAACAAACTCCAGGTCAAATTTGTGTAGTTTTCGTATGACTTCCTTAAA